TAATGGTCCTAGGTGTCCAGTAATGGTCCCAGGTGTATGGTCCCTGGTGTACAGTGATGGTCCCAGGTGTACAGTAATGGTCCCAGGTGTAGTGGTCCCAGGTGTACAGTGATGGTCCCAGGTTTAATGGTCCCAGGTATAATGGTCCCAGGTGTAATGGTCCAAGGGGTACAGTAATGGTCCCAGGTGTCCAGTAATGGCCCCAGGTGGAATGGTCCCAGGTGTACAGTAATGGTCCCAGGTGTAGGTCCCAGGTGTACAGTATGGTCCCAGGTGTAATGGTCCCAGGTGTAATGGTCCCAGGTGTAATGGTCCCACGTGTAATTGTCCCAGGTGTAATGGTCCCAGGTGTACAGTAATGGTCCCGGTGTAGTGGTCCCAGGTGTACAGTAATGGTCCCAGGTGTAATGGTCCCAGGTGTACAGTAATAGTCCCAAGTGTAGTGGTCCCAGGTGTACAGTAATGGTCCCAGGAGTAATGGTCTCAGGTGTAATGGTCCCAGATGTACAGTAATGGTCCCAGGTGTAATGGTCCCAGGTCTACAGTAATGGTCCCAGGTGTAATGGTCTCAGGTGTACAGTAATGGTCCCAGGTGTAATGGTCTCAGGTGTAATGGTCTCAGGTGTACAGTAATGGTCCCAGGTGTAATGGTCTCAGGTGTAATGGTCCCAGGTGTACAGTAATGGTCCCAGGTGTACAGTAAAGGTCCCAGGTGTAATGGTCCCAGGTGTACAGAAATGGTCTCAGGTGTACAGTAATGTTCCCAGGTGTAATGGTCCCAGGTGTACAATGGTCCCAGGTGTAATGGTCCCAGGTGTAATGGTCTCAGGTGTACAGTATTGGTCCCAGGTGTACAGTAACGGTCCCAGGAGTACAGTAATGGTCCCAGGTGTGCAGTAATGGTCCCAGGTATACAGTAATGGTCCCAGATGTATGTAACCCAGATGTACAGTAATGGTCCCAGTGCTGTACTTGGTCCCAGGTACAGTAATGGTCCCAGGTATACAGTAATGGTCCCAGATATACAGTAATGGTCCCCAGATGTGTAATGGTCCCAGGTGTACTGTGCACGGGTCCCAGGTGCACAGTAACGGTCCCAGGTACAGTAATGTCCCAGGTGTACAGTAATGGTCCCAGGTATACAGTAATGGTCCCAGGAGCAGTAATGGGCCCCAGATGTACAGTAATGGTCCCAGGTGCACAGTAACGGTCCCAGGTGTACAGTAATGGTCCCAGGTGTACGATGTCCCAGGTGTACAGTAATGGTCCCAGGTGTACAGTAATGGTCCCCAGATGTACTGTAATGGTCCCAGGTGCACAGTAATGGTCCCAGGTACAGTAATGGTCCCAGGTGTACAGTAATGGTCCAAGGTACAGTAATGGTCCCAGGTGTACAGTAATGGTCCCAGGTACAGTAATGGTCCTGTGTGTACAGTAACTGTCCCAGGTGTACAGTAATTGTCCCCAGATGTACAGTAATGGTCCCAGGTGTACGTAATGGTCCCAGATGTACAGTAATGGTTCCAGGTGTACTGTAATGGTCCCAGGTGTACAGTAACGGTCCCAGGTGTACAGTAATGGTCCCAGATGTACAGTAATGGTCCCAGGTGTACAGTAACGGTCCCAGGTGTACAGTAGTGTCCCAGGTGTAGAGTAGTGGTCCCAGGTGTACGGTAATGGTCCCAGGTGTACAGTAAAGGTCCCAGGCATAATGGTCCCAGGTGTACAGTAATGGTCCCAAGTTTATGGTAATAGTCCCAGGCATAATGGTCCCAGGTGTACAGTAATGGTCCCAGGTTTACAGTAATGGTCCCAGGCATAATGGTCCCAGGAGTACAGTAAAGGTCCCAGGTGTACAGTAATGGTCCCAGGCATAATAGTCCCAGGAGTACAGTAATGGTCCCAGGTGTAATGGTCCCAGGTATACAGTAATGGTCCCAGGCGTACAGTAATGGTCCCAGGTGACAGTAATGGTCCCAGGTGTAATGGTCCCAGGTACAGTAATGGTCCCAGGTGTACAGTAACTGTCCCAGGTGTACAGTAATTGTCCCAGATGTACAGTATGGTCCCAGGTGTACAGTAATGGTCCCAGATACAGTAATGGTTCCAGGTGTACAGTAATGGTCCCAGGTGTACAGTAACGGTCCCAGGTGTACAGTAATGGTCCCAGATGTACAGTAATGGTCCCAGGTGTACAGTAACGGTCCCAGGTGTACAGTAGTGGTCCCAGTGTAGAGTAGTGGTTCCAGGTGTACAGTAATGGTCCCAGGTGTACAGTGTGGTCCCAGGCATAATGGTCCCAGGTGTACAGTAATGGTCCCAGGTTTACAGAATGGTCCCAGGCACATGGTCCCAGGAGTACAGTAAAGGTCCCAGGTACAGTAATGGTCCCAGGCACAAGAGTCCCAGGAGTACAGAATGGTCCCAGGTGTAATGGTCCCAGGTATACAGTAATGGTCCCAGGTGTACAGTAATGGTCCCAGGTGTACAGTATGGTCCCAGGTATACAGTAATGGTCCCAGGTGTACAATAATGGTCCCAAGTGTACAGTAATGGCCCCAGGTGTACAGAAATGGTCCCAGGTGTACAGTAATGGTCCCAGGTGTATATTAATGGTTCCAGGTGACAGCAGGTCCCAGGTGTAATGGTCCCAGGCACAATGGTCCCAGGAGTACAGTAATGGTCCCAGGTGACAGTAATGGTCCCAGGAGTACAGTAATGGTCCCAGGAGTACAGAATGGTCCCAGGTGTACAGTAATGGTCCCATGCATAATGGTCCCAGGAGTACAGTAATGGTCCCAGGTGTACGTGAATGGTCCCAAGTGTGCTGTAATGCTCCCAGGCATAATGGTCCAAGGAGTACAGTAATGGTCCCAGGTGTAAAAATGGTCCCAAGTGTGCAGTAATGGTCCCAGGCATAATGGTCCCAGGTGTACAGTAATGGTCCCAGGTGCAGAATGGTCCTGGTGTACAGTAATGGTCCCAGGTGTACAGTATCCCAGGTGTACAGTAATGGTCCCAGGTGTACAGTAATGGTCCCAGGTGTAATGGTCCCAGGTTTACAGTAATGGTCCAAGGATACAGTAATGGTCCCAGGTGTAATGGTCCCAGGGTACAGTAATGGTCCCAGGTATACAGTAATGGTCCCAGGTGTACAGTAATGGTCCCAGGTATACAGAGGTCCCAGGTGTACAGCAATGGTCCCAGGTGTACAGAAGATCCCATACAGTAATGGTCCCAGGTGTACAGTAATGGTCCCAGGCATACAGTAATGGTCCCAGGTACAGTAATGGTCCCAGGTGTACAGTAATGGTCCTGTACAGTATGGTCCCAGGTGTACAGTAATGGTCCCAGGTGCTACAGAACGGTCCCAGGTGTACAGTAGCACGTGGTCCCAGGTGTACAGTAATGGTCCCAGGTACAGTAATGGTCCCAGTGTACAGTAATGGTCCCAGGTATGCTGTCATGGTCCCCAGGTGTACAGTAATGGTCCCAGGTGCACAGAACGGTCCCAGGTGTACAGAATGATCCCAGGTATATAGTAATGGTCCCAGGTGTACAGTAATGGTCCCAGGATAACAGTAATGGTCCCAGGTGTACAGTAATGGTCCCAGGTATACAGTAATGGTCCCAGGTGTGATAATGGTCCCAGGTGTACTGAACGGTCAGGTATACAGTAATGGTCCCAGGTGTACAGTAATGGTCCCAGGTGTAGAGTAATGGTTCCAGGTGTACAGTAATGGTCCCAGGTGTGGCATGGTCCCAGGTGTACAGAATGGTCCCAGATGCAGGTCCCAGGTGTACAGTAATGGTCCCAGGTGTACAGTAATGTCCAGGTAGTAATGGTCCCAGGTGTACAGTAATGGTCCCAGGTGTGTGTGCAATGGTCCCAGGTGTAATGGTCCTGTGTATGGTAATGGTCCCAGGTGTAGTCATGGTCCCAGGTGTAATGGTCCTGGTGTACAGTAATGGTCCCAGGTGTACAGTAATGGTCCCAGGTGTACAGTAATGGTCCCAGGTGTAATGGTCCTGGTGTACAGTATGGTCCCAGGTAGTAATGGTCCCAGGTGTGTAATGGTCCCAGGTGCAGTAATGGTCCCAGGTGTAATGGTCCTGGTGTACAGTGCACGGTCACAGGTGTAAGTACGGTCCCAGGTGTACAGTAATGGTCCCAGGTGTATGGTCCTGGGTGTACAGTAATGGTCTCGAGGTCAGTAATGGTCCCAGGTGCACACATCGGTCCCAGGTGTGTTGAAGGTCCCCAGGTGTACAGTAATGGTCCGGTGTCAGAGTAATGGTCCCAGGTGTCAATAATGGTCCCAGGTGTGCAGTAATGGTCCCAGGTGTAATGGTCCAGGGTAATGGCCCAGGTGAGAGGTCCCAGGTGTACAGTAATGGTCCCAGGTGATAATGGTCCCAGGTGTACAGTATGGTCCTAGGTGTACAGCAGGTCCCAGGTGTACAGTAATGGTCCCAGGTGTACAGTAATGGTCCCAGGTGTAATGGTCCCACAGTGTAATGGTCCCAGGTGTACAGTAATGGTCCCAGGTGTACAGCAATGGTCCCAGGTGTAGTGGTCCCAGGTGTAATGGTCCCGGTTAAGTAGTCCCAGGTGCACAGTAATGGTCCCAGGTGTACAGTAATGGTCCCAGGTGTACAGTAATGGTCCCAGGTGTACAGTAATGGTCCTAGGTGAATGGTCCAGGTGTAATGGTCCCAGGTGTACAGTAATGGTCCCAGGTGTAATGGTCCCAGGTGTACAGTAATGGTCCCGGTGTAATGTCCCAGGTGAGTCCCAGGTGTACAGTAATGGTCCCAGGTGTACAGTAATGGTCCCAGGTGTACAGTAATGGTCCCAGGTGTACAGTAATGGTCCCAGGTGTACAGTAATGGTCCCAGGTGTACAGGAATGGTCCCAGGTGTAATGGTCCTGGGTGCGCTGGTGCAACACTGGTCATAATTGAGAGGTCAAGGGCGGCCATGTGTCTTCCCTGGGTCCCATGTCTTTCAGTGTCCCGCTGTCTTCCCAGGTCCCACAGGTCTCCCAGGTCCCACAGGTCTTCCCCAGGTCCCACAGGTCTTCCCAGTCCCACAGGTCCCTTCCCAGGTCCCGACAGGTCCTCTCCCAGGTCCCACAGGTCTTCCCAGGTCCCACAGGTCTCCCAGTCCCACAGGTCTTCCCAGGTCCCCACAGGTTCCTTCCCAGGTCCTGGCTAGGTCTCTCCCAGGCCCACAGGTCTTCCCCAGTGTCCCACAGGTCTTCCCAGGTCCTGCTGTCTCCCAGTGTCCCGCTGGTCTCCCCTGTGTCCCCCAGGTCTTCCCAGGTCTGCTCAGGCTCCCAGTGTCCCACAGGTCTTCCCCAGTCCCGTCAGGTCTTCCCAGTCCCACAGGTCTTCTCCCCAGTCCCACAGGCCTTCCCAGGTCCTGCCAGGTCTCCTGTCCTGGCTGTCTTCCCAGGTCCTGCCAGGTCTTCCTGTAGGTCCCACAGGTCTTCCCTAGTCCCACAGGTCTCCCAGGTCCCACAGGTCTCCCAGGTCCCACAGGTCTCCTGTGTCCCACAGGTCTCCCAGTCCCACAGGTTCCTGTGTCCCACAGGTCTTCTCAGGTCCCACAGGTCTCCCCAGGTCCTGGCCAGGTCTCCCAGTCCCCACAGGTCTCTCTCCCCAGGTCCCTGGCCAGGTCTCCCAGGTCCCACAGGTCTCTCCCAGGTCCCACAGGTCTTCCCAGGTCCCGGCTGTCTTCCCAGGTCCCTGACAGGTCTTCCCAGGTCCCACAGGTCTTCCAGTGTCCTGCAGGTCTTCCCAGGTCCCACAGGTTCCTCCTGTGTCCCACAGGCTCTTCCCCAGGTCCTGCTGGTGGTCTTCCCAGGTCCCACAGGTCTTCCTAGTGTCCTGCTGAGGTCTTCCCAGGTCCCACAGGTCCCTTCAGTCCCACAGGTCTCTCCAGTGTCCCTCCAGGTCTCCAGTGTCCCAGCCAGGTCTCCCCAGGTCCCCCAGGTCTCCCAGTCCCACAGGTCTTCAGGTCCCACAGGTTCCTTCCAGGTCCCACAGGTCTCCAGTGTCCGCCAGGTCTTCCCCAGGTCCCGGACAGGTCTCTCCCAGTCCCACAGGTCTTCCCAGGTCCCACAGGTCTTCCTCCCCAGGTCCTGGCCAGGCTCCTTTCAGGTCCCACAGGTCTTCCCTGTGTCCTGGCTGTGTCTTTCTGTGTCCCACAGGTCTTCCAGTGTCCCACAGGTCTCTCCCAGTGTCCCTCAGGTCTTCCCAGGTCCCACAGGTTCCCCAGGTCCTGCTGTGTCTTTTCAGTGTCCCACAGGTCTTTCCAGTGTCCTGCCAGGTCTTCCTGTGTCCTGCTGTGTCTTCCTGTCCCCAGGTCTTCCTAGTCCCACAGGTCTTCCAGTGTCCCACAGGTCTTCCCAGGTCCCACAGGTCCCACAGGTCTCCCAGTGTCCCACAGGTTCTCTCCAGGTCCCACAGGTCTCCCAGGTCCCGACAGGTCTTCAGTGTCCCACAGTCTCTCCAGTGTCCCCACAGGTCTTCCCAGGTCCTGGCTGGTCTTCCCAGTGTCCCACAGGTCTCTCTCTCCCAGGTCCTGCCAGGTCTCCCCAGGTCCCACAGGCCCCAGTGTCCTGCTGCAGGTCTTCCTGTGTCCCGCTGGTCCTCCAGGTCCCTGGCCAGTTCTCTCCCTGTGTCCCACAGTCTTCAGTGTCCCACAGGTCTTCCTGTGTCCCACTGTCTTCCCAGGTCCCACAGGTCTTCCTTGTCCTGGCTGTGTCTTCCCAGTCCCACATGTGTCTTCCAGTGTCCCACAGGTCTCCAGGTCCCAGGTCCCTTCCCAGGTCCCACAGGTCTTCCCAGGTCCCGGCCAGGTCTCCCAGGTCCCACAGGTCCCACAGGTCTCCCAGTGTCCCACAGGTCTCCCAGGTCCCACAGGTCTTCCCCAGTCCTGCCAGGTCTTCCCCAGGTCCTGCTGTGTCTCTCCTGTGTCCCACAGTGTCTTCCCAGTGTCCCACTGTCTTCCTGTCCCGGCTGTCTCCCTGTGTCCCACAGGTCTTCCTGTGTCCTGCCTGTGTCCTGTGTTCCTGTCAGGTCTTCCTGTGTCCCGCTGTGTCTTTCAGTGTCCCTGCTGTGTCTTCCCTGTGTCCTGGCTAGGTCTTCCCAGGTCCCACAGGGGTCTTCCCCAGGTCCCACAGGTCTCTCCAGTGTCCCACAGGTCTTCCCAGGTCCCACAGGTCTCCCCAGGTCCCACAGGTCTCCCAGGTCCCACAGGTCTTCCCAGGTCCCACAGGTCTTCCCCAGGTCCCCACAGGTCTTCCCAGGGTCCCACAGGTCTTCCTCCCCAGGTCCCACAGGTCTTCCTGTGTCCCACAGGCCTCCCCAGGTCCTGCTTGGCCCCTGTGTCCCACAGTCTCTCCAGTGTCCCGCCAGGTCTTCCAGTGTCCTGTCAGGTCTTCCTCAGGTCCGGCTGTGTCTTTAGTGTCCTGCTGTGTCTTCCTGTGTCCCACAGGCCTCCTGTGTCCCACAGGTCTTCCCAGGTCCTGCCATGTTCTCCTAGGTCCCACAGGGTCTTCCCTGTGTCCCACAGGTCTTCCCCAGGTCCCCACACAGGTCTCCCCAGGTCCCAGCCAGGCTCCCAGGTCCCACAGGTCTTCCCAGTCCCACAGGTCTCTCCCCAGGTCCCACAGGTCTCTCCCTGTGTCCCACAGGTCTTCTGTGTCCCACAGGTTCCTCCCAGGTCCCACAGGTCTTCCCTGTGTCCCACAGGTCTCCCAGGTCCCACAGGTCTTCCCAGGTCCCTGGCCAGGTCTCCCAGGTCCCACAGGTCTTCCTGTGTCCCACAGGTCTTCCCTGTGTCCTGGCCAGTCTTCCCCAGGTCCCACAGTGTCTTCCCGTGTCCCGCTGTGTCTTCCCTGTGTCCTGCTGTGTCTTCCTGTGTCCCGCTGTGTCTTCCTGTGTCCCGGCTGTGTCTTCCTGTGTCCCGCTGTGTCTCTCAGTGTCCCGCTGTGTCTTCCAGTGTCCCGCAGTGTCTTCCTGTGTCCCACTGTGTCTTCCTGTGTCCCGCTGTGTCTCTAGTGTCCCACAGTGTCTTCCCTGTGTCCTGCAGGTCTTCCTGGTCCCTGCCAGGTCTTCCCAGTGTCCCACAGGTCTTCCCTGTGCCTGCTGTCCTCCTGTGTCCCACTGTGTTCTCTCCAGTGTCCCGCTGTGTCTTCCTGTGTCCCCAGGTCTTCCTGTGTCCCGCTGTGTCTTCCTGTGTCCCGCCAGGTCTTCCCTCTGTGTCCCACTGTGTCTTCCTGTGTCCCGCTGTGTCTCTTCCTGTGTCCCGCTGTGTCTTCAGTCCCGCTGTGTCTTCCTGTGTCCTGCTGTGTCTTCCTGTGTCCCGCTGTGTCTTCCCAGTGTCCCGCTGTGTCTTCCTGTGTCCCACTGGTCTTCCTGTGTCCCGCTGTGTCTCCTGTGTCCCTCAGGTCTTCCTGTGTCCCACAGTTCTTCCTGTGTCCCACTGAGTCTTCTGGTCCCCAGGTCTTCCAGTCCTGCTGTGTCTTCCTGTGTCCCACTGTGTCTTCCTGTGTCCCGCTGTGTCTTCCTGTGTCCCGCTGTGTCTTCCTGTGTCCGCTGTGTCTCCTGTGTCCCACTGTGTCTTCCTGTGTCCGCCATCTTCCTTGTCCCACTGTGTCTTCCAGTGTCCCGCTGTGTCTCTCCAGTGTCCTGGCTGTGTCTTCCTGTGTCCTGCCAGGTCTTCCTGTGTCCGCGGCTGTGTCTTCAGTGTCCCGCTGTGTCTTCCAGTGTCCCGCTGCCTCCTGTGTCCCGCTGTGTCTTCCTGTGTCCCGCTGTGTCTTCCTGTGTCCCGCTGTGTCTTTCTGAGTTAGCTGCTCTCTCTCTCTCTCTCTCTCTCTCTCCCCAGTATATGTAAAACACCCGCCATATACGGTGCCTAGAGATCTGTCCCAGGCCTCCACTACTACAGTATAATAATGTGGGTAACTTGTCCATATGGTTTATTATTATTATTATTAATATTATTATTATTCCACATATAGGGTACCACCCTAACGCCAGCAAATCCTTCCTCATCGTGAAGCCAGATCATTATGATCGGGCTGTGGAATTTTCGGCGAAAGTGAATCAAAATATCTAAGGACGGCCAAAGACATCTAGGCGCAGTAATTGGCATTACGGACTTCAAGACCCAGTACGTAGGGGGAAAGGTGAATGAGTGGGTTAGCAATCCATGCTCTATCGGAGAATTGCTAACACAGAGCCACATGCGGCCTTGCAGCATTCACACATGGAGTCAAGATCGTTGGAACTACCTGATGCGTACCATCCCTGAGATCCGACCCTCCTCCACCCTTTGAAGAAGCAATCAGTGTCAAGTTCATTCCCAAACTAGTGAAACACCCTGACTTAACCCTAGAAGAAAGAACACTTCTTGCACTTCCACCAAGACTGGGAGGGATGGGACTAACTAATCCAGAGGAGATTGCTGACTGAACATCAAAAATTCACTTAAGCTCACAGCAGCCACTGACACATAATAGCCCAGAATGCAACAGGAAGTGGACACCAGCAGAATAATAAGATCATGGGTCCATTACAACAGATCGGCACTGCCAAAATGACATGTTGCAGCAACTATTGCTGCTGGTTCCAGAAAATTTGACAAAAAAAAGTAGCTATAGCGCAGGAGGTGGGCGCCTCGAACTGGTTAACTACGTTACCGATAAGGGCAAATGGTTTCAGCCTTAACAAACAAATTTTGAATGCCATTGCTCTAAGGTACGGTTGGCCAGTAAATGGTTTGCCCTCCCAATGCGTGTGGCTATTCTATGATGGTGATCACGCCATGGTTTTAAGAAGGGGCTTCATATGCATGAGGCATGACGGTAAGGGATCTCACAGCAAATATGTTGAAGAAATCTGCCAGGACGTGTGAACAAGCCTCCTTCCACTGGATGGCGAGATCTTCCAACATGGGACTTCAACACATCTACAAGCCCGTGGACGTCAGTGCTCGAGATTCTGGACGCGAGGACAGCAGCTTTCTTCGACATCAGGATTTTTGATCCCATGGCCGTTTGTCACCGTAACCTAGCTCTCGATGCTGCACATAGGAGGAACAGAACGACAAAGAAGGGCATATGGGGAGAGAATTCAAAAATGTTGATCAAGGCAGCTTCACTCCTCTAGTGTTCACAACCTCTGGTGGGATGGGCTAAGTGCAAGATGTTTCTACGCCAGACTCACGGAGCTGATCTCCGAACAAAAGCAGCAGCCCAGGAGTTATGTCACAGCCTGGATGAGATGTCGACTGTCCTTCTCTCCTTCGGTCGGCTTTGCTCTGCCTCAGGGAACGAGAGCTTGTGCCCCCTCTCCGACAACTGCTGCAGATATCGACTATGAGGCTACAGTCACCGAATGCCGCATGGATCTGCGGCTCAATATTAACACAGATAGGATAGTTTCTTATGTATTAGGATATTTAATATTAAGGTAAATAAATGGTGGCGAAGGTGTGGCTATTGAGGCTGGAGGACACGTTAAAAGTAGTAGTAGTAGTAGTAGTAGTACTAGTAGTAGGTGGCCATCAGGTAATAAGAGTGCTGAGGACTTATTGCAACTATATCTTGCATTAGTCAGGCCGCACCTCCATTATGCGGTTCAGTTCTGGTGCCCTTATTATAGAATGGATATAAATTCACTATAGTCGGTGCAGCGAAGAATGACGAAAATGATTCCTGGACTTAGAAACCTTCTATATCAGGATAGGTTAAAGAAACTAAACTTGCATTCCCTAGAATAAAGGAGATATAGATAAAGTTCTTATAATAATATCTAGCAGGATAGGACTCGGAGCAACGGATTTAAGTTGGATAAGTTTAGGTTTAGGAGGGAGAACTGGTTCACAAATAGGGTGGTGGACGAGTGGAACAAGCTTACCAACTTTGTAGTAAGTGCTGGAACTCTGGAAAGTTTTAAAGGGAGGCTGGATAGATTCATGGATGATAGAGAGTGGTAGTAACTCTCGACAGGAGCACCCATGCACAGGCCAACTCCTCATGTTCTTATGTTCTTATCATCATTATTAGTATGATCATATTTTCATAAATTATAATAGATAAAATAATAAATTTTATATTACAAAAGTAAAAAGTCGTTAATTAATTCTAGTACACCGTGTACAGGTGATCAGGACAGTACACCGTGTACAATTGATCAGGACAGTACACCGTGTACAGGTGATCAGGACGGTGCACCGTGTACGGGTGGTCAGGACGGTGCACCGTGTACAGGTGATCCAGAACAGTACCGTGTACGGGTGATCAGGACAGTACACCGTGTACAGGTGATCAGGATGATACACCGTGTACAGGTGATCGGGGACAGTACACACCGAAATGTGCAGGTGATCAGGACAGTACACCGTGTGCAGGTGATCCAGGACGGTACACCGATGGCCGCAGGTGATCGGAACGTGCACCGTGTTACGGGTGATCAGGACCAATACACCGTAATACAGGTGATCAGGACAATGCACGCAGTGGCCGGTCGATCGGGACTCATTTTACCGTGTACGGGTGATCAGGACGGTGCACCGTGTACAGGTGATCAGGACAGTGCACCGTGTGCAGGTGATCGGTGCAATTACACCTGATATTACGGGTGATCAGGACGGTGCACCGTGTTACGGGTGATCAGGACGATGCACCGTCTGCAGGTGATCAGGACGGTGCACCATGTACCAGGTGATCAGGGAACAATGCACCGTGTACGGGTGATCAGTACGGTACACCGTGTACGGGTGATCGGGACAATACACCAAGTGTGCACCAGGTGATCGGGACAGTACACCGTGTACAGGTGATCCCGGGACCAGTACACCGTGTTGCAGGTGATCAGGACGAAATACACCGTGTACAATTGATCAGGACAGTGCATCGTGTACAGGTGATCAGGATGATACACCGTGTACAGGTGATCAGGACAATTTTACCGTGTACGAATTGATCCAGGACAGTACACCGTGTGCAATTGATCAGGACAGTACCATGCACAGGTGATCAGGACAGTACACCGTGTGGGTGATCAGTACACCGTGCTGAGTGATCAGGACAGTACACCGTGTACGGGTGATCAGGACGGTACACCGTGTACAG